GACATAACAGGGGACACCGCAGTTACTACGCAGCAATAAACAACTTGGCAGGGTTCCCCAGCTTCCGCACTGACAACACCGAAAACAGTTACGTGATAGCTACCCCTGTTGCATAACGTCGTGTTTACAGGCATTCCCCAGCTTCCCGTTGCCCCATCCACGTTACAATACATTAATTTTATCTTATAAAGCATATGCTGGAGACAGAGCAGGGAGGTATGCAAAGAAGGTAACTGCAACAAATGATGCACTTTCAGTGATTAAATGTTATTCGTCTCTGTGGTATACATTCATATGTGTCTTATGTGAAGTAGCATGCATTGAAATGAAGGGCCAGAGGCTGTCAGCAGACACTGATATTTGGCAGTTTCTGGTCTGGGGGGGGATGGATAGATTACCTGAACCATTTCAGCAGGCTGATGGGATATAGTTCCAGCGTGAAACATGAACCCCACCCTTCCTTCAGCAGTGTCACTTATCTGCAGTCTGAAATGTAGGCAGAATCCAACTGCCTCTGTGAAACATATCATCATGTACCTGGAGTGTGAGTATAGACGGGTTTTGGAATGATTTATTTGACTTCTTGATATGGTGCATGACTACACTTTACAATTGATGTGCACACACACACACACACACACACGTGTCCACTGTCATGTCTTCACTAGCCATTGCTCGGTAGTGGCGGACGTTCCTCTTCCTCAGGGTTCCTGCATTGTCCCTAGCCTCAGCTACCAGGTTCTAACAGCAACAGCTCACAACTGAACACCAGCGGTTCTTTAACTCACTGAGCAACTCAACTCAGCTCACTTTGCCAACTGTCCTGCTTATAATGTCTCGGCACATACTGCACTGAACACACCGTTCCTCTGTTGCTGTGGAAACATGTTTGCTAAACTGTTACATAGTAGTGGCTGTTGTATATTTGCTTATGTTGCGGTCACTTCCCAGCAATGGGTCTACATGCCACAGTATGTTAATGAACAGAAGAGACCTGCTAGTATATAGTATAAACTTTCAGATTTGTCATTTGTACTGACCATGGTTTGAAGCACTTGCTGCATAACGCACAGCAGGAACACAATCTGTGGCATTTTATTTTTGGTTTACCAGATGTGACAGGTATGATGCAAGTATTGCTATAATATACCATATATACTGACATACAGGATGCTTGGCACATAAAATCATGATTTTTCAATTACTAATTTAAATTTTGGGCTATATTTTCCAGACAAGACAGCTATAAAGTTTCCCCCCCCCACTTCTACTTTTAACAGAAAATAAAGCTTCATATTTCCTTCTCCTAGCAAGTTCAGTCCTGATGGTATCTGGGATAGCTCACTCAGCTTAGCGACAGTCTGCAGGCTGGACAGCCACGGTTCAATTCCTGGTAGGGGCAAGATATTTTTCTCTAACCTACAGCATCCGACAGCTCTATGGCCCACCCACCCTCCTATCCTATGGGTACCAGGGGTTCTTTCCTCTGGGGTGTGAAACTGACCTCTTACCTCCACCTAGATCAAGAATGGCGGCGCTATACATCCACTTCCCAACATTAATTAAGCAGAGGGCAGCTTTACCTTACTTTTCTTAAGGGTCCTGGATATTATGATGTTATCCCATACAGACTGTGCTGTAGTATGCAAGAGTGTTGATCTGAGACTGTTACTTTTTATGACTGACTTCACTGACATCAGTTGGCCGGTCACAGGACATGATTTATGCTATTAATGTCCATATTGGTAGCTTTCTGGATTTATGCTTGGTTCTGGCCTTTGTTTGCACTACATCAGCTGTTGCAAATAGTGTGTGGTGTTGAGCTCATGCTGACTGCTTTGCAGTTATGGTAATTGTGGTCATGTTGCTCCACCACATATTATTTTAGTATAATCTCTGTGTCAGTTATGTATGCCAAACATCGAGTTTCAGTTAGAGATAATTATGATGGGAGTTAAGTGATACATAGTAGTTTATAAATGTTAGGTAGCATTTAATCATTTCTTGATCATCATGAACATAAACAAGGATCTTAAGACCTGTAAGATTTGAGGCTTTCACGGCGGTGACTATGAAGAAAGCAGTCTTCTGGGATTTGGCACCGTGTATATGTGGTGTTAACCGACGTTTCGGAGGAAGTCTTGGAAACCTCTTATCTGTTCTCTTAAAAACCCCCCACCGGGATATGACGCCAGATCCAGAAGGCCACAAGGCCATGACCAACCAACATAACAACCCCCCCCNATTTCCACAGTCTGCTTTACCGTTTCTCACAGTGTTGTCGCTTGCAGATTTCTTATACTTTTTCTTCTACCCTGAAGATGGGGGCGATACGTTCCTCCGAAACGTCGGTTAACACCACATATACACGGTGCCAAATCCCAGAAGACTGCTTTCTTCATCTTAAGACCTGTTTGAAGCAGCAGATGGTCTAACGAGCTCTTCTGGTACAGTCATTCATGTCTTCTGTTAGGTTGTTCACTTTTAACCTATTACAAATGTCAGGATTTTTCTGGCATTCCAATCTTGTAAGGCCTAATAATGGTCTCAGGAATCTCATTTGTGCAGCTTCTAGTTTCTGGACATGTATTTAAACATTTAGGGTTCACAATTTATGCTTCCTGTGTAAGTGTTTTAAGCTTACAAGGTCATTTTTATGTCAGTATATACGTCATTTGTTTGTTACATATTATATGCATTTTAAACCAACAGACTATCGGTAATTTCTGTCATGCATTGCGTATTCAGCTGTATTTTAACTTTAAGGATCAAGCAGTAGAAGGGCTATGATAGAAGTGGGTGGCAGAGAATAGTGAAAGGTAAGAGCAGATACTAGGAATAATGTCATGTTTTTCCTTTTGTGCCACATAAATGGGTATCTAGATATTCACCTTGGACATTAAAGGGGCCACCCAGTGCCAAATTTGGAAAAGGAAGCTGGAAAAGAATATATTTATGTTTCCTCAGGAATGGTAGAAATGGTTAAAAACATACTAAATCAGCACTGAAGAAATGGAGCATTTTTTGCATTTTCATGAATGGGCACTGTGAAAACATTACTAAGAAATTCAAGAAACGTCCTGTAAATGCTTATCATTTGCAAGGAATGACTAATCGCCAACTGACAGCAGATACTTAGGTCAATGAAAAGCTTAATATTTCACCAAACTGAACGGCACAGATGTTATGTGGAATGCGATCATCGCCAGGGTGAAGATGCTGATAAGATAAGCGCTGCTGTTTGGTTGGTTAGGTACTGTTCTGATGCTAATTCCAGAGGCTGGAATTGGGTATGTTGCTGCACATAATATAGCTGTATGGTTCCCACTTGATGGCTGTAAGCACAAACACTATGGCCACATGTGCGAAGAGCATATTTTCTTGAGCTTTCCTGTTATGAGTATGCCCTTGAACAGTATTTTCTGAATGTGGAAATTTATTTACATGTTTTTCTGACTGCCTCCTGTTACTGTTGCATTGTGTGAAAGCATTTTCAGCAAATTAAACATAATGAGAAAATTATGTTAAATTGTTTATGACACAGGAGTGGCTGTCAAATTTAAAAATTCTTTCAACAGAATATGATACTTCACAAAACATTATGATCTAATTAATGAATCTGTATCTATTAACCTTTATCGGACGGGCCATTTAATTTCCGGTAGGGACAGCTGGACGGAGTTTATTTAAATGCCCGCCCTTCTAGAGCAATGAAATTGTAAGCATGTTTCTAAAAATGGTGTGATTTCTACATTGTTTATGATAAACGAACGAAATGAACGCTCCTTTAATGTAGAAAGAAT